AAATCAACAATTCCTGCCGCTGATGGCTGCCTGCCCTCCTGCCCTACAAAGGTTCTGGACCTTGGTAGCCAATGGACGGTCACAAAACATGCTGCAAGGCAGCCAATGGCAGGCGCAGAGCCGCCGTATCGCTGTCACAGCCTGTCACGGTGCAGGTGCAGCTGACTCAGCCGAGGCGGTTCGGGCGACGGCTGTAGCTCTGCTGCTTGAGTGCTTGTTACTCTTCTTTTTTGCTCTCTTCCTCGTTTCCTGACCACGATTTCAACCTCAATTCCTCGCACCATCCCGCGTGGAATCACAAAACGTTCTCTAGTCCCCCCGCCTCCGTCGAACATCGAATCCCTTTCTCTACCCTTCCACAGCTGAAGCTTGAAGCTTGTTCGCAGTTGTCATACGAGGCTTTTGCCCTATTTCTTTTCCTTTTTTTTTTCTGCAATTTTTCTTCCTTTTTAAACCACCCGCAACCAGCAGGAGAAGAGTCATTTGTCTTCTTCTCTGATGAAACGGGTGTCTCGCCAGGCGGAACGACAGTACTACTAGTCGACAGTTCCCGCCTTTATTTTGCTTTTTTTCCTTATTTTTTTCTTGCGTATATCTTCAACGTCTGCCCGTTGAGGCTGGCTAGCCGCCCCGCCAGATCCTCGGTCATCGTTTACGGTGTTCGCCTTGTTCGTCTTCTCCTTCGCGGAAGAGACTAATTAGGTTCGCCAGTTGGGAACCAGGCGAGCAAATACAGAGAATAGAAGGAATACACTCAGACAGAAGGAAAGAATAGAGAGTGGGATACGAAAAGGCACGAAAAACATTAGGAAAAAAAAAAAAAAAAAAAAAACTCGAGAGATAAGCAGGACAATTTCATTTCATTTCATTTTTTGAAAAAGGATTATCTTTTATTGGAATTTTGTTGTCTCTTGTTGAGTAAATCTACCTTTTACCCTGCCACCACCTTCTCTTCTTTTTACCTTCAACCGACCGCCCCCCTCTTCCCTCTATAACATGGGGCTTTCGTCTCTATATTTTACAAATTCATAATTCTTACTCATAGAAAATCTCTTGTTGTCCTCTTCCATGTTAAAGGTTCATTTTTCTCTCTCTACAAAGAAGACTTCGTGACGGCCTAGTTGAACGTTCTGAACTATTGACGATCCCCTTCCTTGTACGTCAAGAAAAGCCGAAAAGAAAAAGAAACGAAAGAAAAGAAAAGGACCAGGAAAAAGGATCCACAACTATGCTGCAAACTGCTACGGTTAAAGCGTTTTCGAACGCTGCCTTCCTCCGCCGTTCGTCCTCCGCCTACAACATCCGGACATTTTCTGTCATTTCGTCGAAACCCGCCAATACCGTGTCGCGGAGTAGCTCCAAGCTGCATCTGGCCTTGCGCAGACCGCTGGCTGTTCTTAGCCGCCAGCAGGTATGGAATCAGAAGAGATATTATGCTGTTGCCGCAGAAGAGTCTAGTAAAGGAGTGGTATGTCTTTTGCATTTTCTTCCGTTCTTTTTTCTTTCGTCCCAATTATTCTCCCTTGTGATAGATCGAATTTCGTCTCTATTATCTCATGTAATATTCGTTGCTTTTGGATGGGGAACTGACGTATTTGGCTTTGAAGGATCCTAGCGATTCCTTCCTTCAAGGGAATACTGCGAATTACATCGATGAGATGTATATGGCTTGGAAGAAGGACCCCACAAGTGTTCATGTCTCGTGGCAAACATACTTCCGCAATATGGAAGATGGCAATATGCCCATCTCCCAAGCCTTCCAGCCTCCCCCAACTCTCGTCCCAATCCCAACCGGCGGCGTGCCTCAGCATATGCCCCATGCCGGGACCGCTAGTGTTGCCGGAACCGAAGTATCGAACCACTTGAAAGTCCAGCTTCTAGTGCGCGCATACCAGGCCCGTGGACACCACAAAGCGAAGATCGACCCCCTGGGAATCCGTGGAGAAGCTGAAGCTTTTGGTTACAACAAACCTAGGGAGTTGGAGCTGGACCATTATGGATTCACCGAGAGCGACCTGGACCAGGAATTCGCCCTTGGACCCGGTATTCTTCCACGTTTCGAAACCGAGACGAGGAAAAAGATGACCCTGAGGGAGATCATTGCTGCTTGCGAGAAGATTTACTGCGGCTCGTACGGCATCGAATATATCCACATCCCAGACAGAGGGCCTTGCGATTGGATTCGTGATCGCGTCGAGATCCCCACCCCTTACAAATACTCCATCGATGAGAAACGCCGTATCCTGGATCGCCTGATTTGGAGCTCCAGTTTCGAGTCTTTCCTTGCCACCAAGTTCCCTAACGATAAGCGTTTCGGTTTGGAAGGCTGCGAAACCCTGGTTCCGGGAATGAAGGCCCTAATTGACCGTAGTGTTGACTACGGTATTAAGGATATCGTCATTGGTATGCCACATCGTGGTCGTCTTAATGTGCTTAGTAACGTTGTACGAAAACCCAACGAGTCCATCTTCAGCGAATTCAGCGGCACCGTGGAGCCCTCGGACGAAGGATCCGGAGACGTCAAGTACCATCTTGGCATGAACTTTGAGCGTCCCACGCCTTCAGGCAAGCGCGTGCAGCTTTCTCTCGTCGCCAACCCGTCTCATCTGGAGGCTGAGGATCCCGTTGTTCTCGGAAAGACTCGTGCCATCCAGCATTACAACAACGACGAGAAGGAATTCAACACCGCCATGGGGGTGTTACTTCACGGTGATGCTGCATTTGCTGCGCAGGGTGTAGTGTACGAGACAATGGGATTCCATTCCCTGCCCGCGTACTCTACCGGAGGAACGATCCACATCATCGTGAACAACCAAATCGGTTTCACCACTGATCCCCGCTTTGCTCGTTCCACCCCATACTGTTCTGATATAGCCAAGGCAATCGACGCGCCTGTCTTCCATGTCAACGGGGATGATGTTGAAGCGCTGAACTACGTTTGCCAGATGGCAGCTGACTGGCGCGCCACCTTCAAGCGTGATGTGGTCATCGATATCGTCTGCTACCGGAAACAGGGCCACAACGAAACGGATCAGCCTTCTTTCACGCAGCCCCTGATGTACAAGCGCATCGCAGAACAGACTAACCAACTGGACAAGTATGTTGACAAGTTGATAAGTGAGAAGACCTTCAGCAAGGCGGACATCGAGGAGCACAAGAAGTGGGTTTGGGGAATGTTGAACGACAGCTTCGATCGTAGCAAGGACTACCAGCCTTCCAGCAAGGAGTGGCTGACCTCCGCATGGAACGGATTCAAAACCCCCAAGGAGCTGGCTACGGAGGTCCTCCCACACCCGCCCACTGGCGTCCCCACAGAAACCCTGAAGAGGATCGGCGACGTCCTCGGATCCATCCCTGAAAACTTCACCGTGCACCGCAACCTGAAACGTATCTTGGCAAACCGAAAGAAAACTGTCGAAGAAGGTGAGAACATCGATTGGTCGACCGCCGAAGCGCTTGCGTTTGGCTCGCTTTGTGCTGAGGGTCATCATGTGCGTATCTCCGGACAAGATGTGGAGCGTGGGACCTTCTCGCAGCGTCATGCTGTTCTGCATGACCAAGAGAACGAGACTACATACACATCGCTGCAGCACATTAGCCCTGATCAAGGGAAATTTGTCATCTCGAATTCTTCGCTTAGCGAGTTTGGCGCGTGAGTTTTTCATATCCCCTTTTCATTTTTTCATTTTTTTTTTTTTTTTTTTTTTTTTTTTTGAATCTCTGGTTTCATCTTTAAATAATCGATATCTTTTGTACTAACACGCTGGCATATTTGGCAGTTTGGGTTTTGAATATGGCTACTCTCTGACATCACCCGATGCGTTTGTGATGTGGGAGGCTCAATTTGGTGATTTCGCAAATAACGCCCAATGTATCATCGACCAGTTCATCGCATCCGGTGAATCTAAGTGGCTCCAACGATCCGGCCTTGTCATGTCGCTGCCACATGGTTATGATGGCCAGGGTCCCGAGCATTCCTCCGCGAGAATAGAACGTTACCTCCAACTGTGTAACGAAGATCCAAGAGTGTTCCCCGCCCCTGATAGAATCGACCGCCAACACCAGGACTGCAACATGCAGATTGCCTATATGACCACGCCGTCCAACTTGTTCCACGTCATGCGCAGACAGATGAACAGGCAATTCCGAAAACGTGAGTCCCCCATATCCTTCCTCGACTCTATTTTTTTTTTTTTTTTTTTTCACAGGCTAACCCCTAATTCTAGCCCTGATAATCTTCTTCTCCAAATCCCTCCTCCGCCACCCTCTCTGTCGCTCCCCTCTCTCAGACTTCACCGGTGACTCCCATTTCCAGTGGATAATCGCCGACCCAGAACACGGTTCGTCTTCCTTGAACAACCACGAAGACATCGAGCGCGTAATCCTATGCTCAGGCCAAGTCTACGCCGCCCTCCAAAAACACCGCGCCGCGCATGGAATCAACAACACAGCCATAACGCGCATCGAGCAGATGCACCCGTTCCCCTGGCAGCAGCTCAAGGAGAACCTGGACAGCTATCCGAACGCGAAGGACATCGTCTGGTGCCAGGAGGAGCCGCTGAATGCGGGCGCGTGGAGCTACATGCAGCCGCGCATCGAAACGTTGCTGAACGAGACCGTGCACCATAACCGGCGCCATGTGCTGTATGCAGGCCGGAATCCGAGCGCGAGTGTGGCGACGGGTCTGAAGGCTAGCCACGTGAAGGAGGAGCAGGATTTGTTGCAGGATGCGTTCTCAGTCCATCAAGATCGATTGAAGGGTGAGTAGGGGGTGGGAGCATCGAGGTAGATGACCTCCCTTTCGATACGAGTGGTCTACTTTTTGTTCTTGGTATCTTCTTCTTCTTTCTTCTTTTTTAAAAACTTGAAAGATACATTGATTATTCTCCCCAACCCTTTTTTTTCTCTTTTGTATATCTTTTATTTCCTTCTTCCTCTTGTTTAGTTGAGCTGCATTCTATAATTTCTTTATTCCTTTCTTTCATTTTATTTACTCTTCCTTTTTACCACTTCTTGGTTTCTATTTGTAAAATTTCCCACGATCGTCACTTTTTTAAACCACACCAAGACCACACCCAAGCCTTTCCTCCTATCTTATAAATTGTTATCATATATGTGTTTGCTATGTCTTTTCGTTTCCTTCCTGCCCCTACAACGTATGCTCAACATCAGCCACGAAACGCCAAAACCGAAGAAGTACAACACTACAACAAAAACTGTGAGAGGTTGGTTTTTACACCTGGAACTGTTTCTTTCAGGTTGTTGACATGCGCAATGAAGAAAAAGAAAAGCTCTATGTTGAGATTATTATCATTGTTTAAAATCTGTATTTTCCCCTTGTTTCGCCCTGTTTCATTAGAAAGTACAGAAGGTAAAAGATGTAAATTAGATGTCGATGTGTTTCTCATTTTCCTCCGCTTCTCTATTTTGTTTTGATAGCTGGGTAGCTAGCTATTATCACTCGCGCATAATCGATATTATTATAATAACCTCTTGCGGAATCGAATATCTATAAATTCCACTCTTCCATTTGCCGCCTAGCGTCTCGGCTCTGAACCAACGCGCTAACCCGTTTCAGGGAGGGCCCGGCTTCGTATTACTGGTTCCCTGGTTATTGCCCAAAACGGCAATCCCTTCATCAACCCAACTCCAGCTCTCTCTCTCTCTCTCTATCTTTCTCTATCCTCTCTCCTCTCCCAATGTCCTGCTTCCCATATCCATGTTCTCCTTTGGTTGTTAGAAATACAGCCACCCCCATCTTTCAGCTTTACGAGCTGTTCACAGCTCTCCCCTCCCGCTTCCCGCTCTAAGCTGCAACGGAGGAGGGACAGAGCTATTTCCCCCATCTCCCACTTTCTCATTTCCATCTTCCCCTTCTTGATTCCACCTTCGATAGCACCGACATCTCTCACCACTCCCGCGAGCGCAATCCATGGCCACGGCCCTGGCCCCGGGCGCTGCCCACGCCGCAAACAGCACCACCAGCACAGGTCTCGGACCCAGCACCACCTCGCACTCCAACTCCATCCGCCAACCCGCCCGCCAAACCCGCACAAACCCCAGCCGCACGTCCAAAACAGCCAGCCGCACCACCTTCGCCAGCCTGGGCCTCCACGGGAGCAGTGGCGTATACGGGCTCGGTTCCGGCGTCGGTCTCGGCGGTGCTGGTGCTGGTGGTGCCGGAGGAGGCGCAAGGCGCGAATCAGCTGCGCGCAACATCCCGCACGGCCTCTACCCGGCTATCACTCACTTCACGGACGCCATTACGGCACTGCCCAAGGAGTTTCGGAGGCATGCGTCGTTGCTGAAGGAGGTGGATGGGAAGGCGTGGGCGTTGGAAGAGGCGTTGTCGAAACAGCTGGATGCGGCAACGGCGTCGACGCCTTATGCGATGTTGATGCAGGGGGGTATACCGGTGGGTTATTTTCTTTCTTTCTTTTCTTTTTCTTTTCTTTTCTTTTTTTTTTTGGGGGGGGGGGGGGGAGGGGAATGGACAACTGTGGGGATTATGTAGCTAAGCTAATATGTTTTGCTGGTTGCTGGTAGACGAAAGAACCGATCAACTACGACTCGCCCGAGGCACTTGCCCGCAGGAAGATTTTCTTTGACCTCCGCTCCACTCTCTCAGACCTTATGATTACTACCGATGAGAAGAACCATGTGTTGTGGAATGCGAATAATGAGCTTGAAAAGCAGATTAGGCGCATTGACGCGACTTTTCCATATGTTGAGGGCGAGATAAGTGAAGAGGCCCCGGCTAGGTAGCCTCACGCATTGGGCATATTCGAACAAGACTATCGCGAAGACCACGGGCAATACATCTGAGCGTCCCCGACGTGAAACTGCTGCTACCCGTGATCATAACCTTGCTGCGGCTCTCGAGGGCGAAGCTAGACGGGAGGGCGTTTCCCGAAAACATAGGCGTACTTACGGTGATGTGGATGCTGAAGACGGGCGGATTCCATCTCGGAAAAGCACGGGCGGTAAAGGGAAAAGCAGTGAAACGCTGTCCAATATCCCAATTGGTGCGGGTGGTGCTGCTGCGAGCTCTGCTGCTCCTGCCAAACGGAGGAGAGTCGAGAAACCTCAAACCATAGCTTCTGCTACCGGCTCCGCAATGGAGCGGTCGGCTAGCACGACTACGAATGCAGGTACTGGGCGAGGTGCTGTGAAAGATGTTTCTGCTACTGATGGCGCGAAGAAGAGAGTACGAGCACCGAATGCTAACCCGACTGGGAGGAAAAGGTATGTCGACCGAATTTCCAATTTTGGGAAGAGTGTTGATAAGCCATAGTTTTAATTCTAACTGAGTGGAAACTATGGAAACAGAACAAACACAACGGCGTCCGCGACTGGATCTCCAGCGCTACTCCCTTCTTCCGCTATACTCCCCCTTAACACTTTGACAAAAGCTGCCAGCCCCGCTCCCAATATTATTCCGGCAACACCATCCTCCCGATCGCAGCTAGCTAGTACCCAAGTAACCAATGGTCGTCAGCGGCCTTCATCATCTGCGTCGAATCGGGCGCCTAATTCAAGTACGTTGCCCGGACCCACACCTGCATGTATCACCCGCCTGGACGTCCCTAACCCGGTTGTTCCGACCGCAGAAAAACCCACTTCTTCAGACCCCAAGCCCTCCACTTTATCCAGGGATACTGCTATTACTAGAATAGAGCCCACTTCTTCTACTCTAGCGGAAGTTAATAAGGACGAGAAAGCGAGTCCTTCCATCTCCACTACCCCGAGACCAGCGGAGCTCGTACCAAAACAGGAGGACACCGCTCCTGCTAGCTACAATAACATCAATAACAGTAATGCCAATAGCGCAACCAAAGCAGAAGCTGGCTCTAGCTCTGAACCCCAACCAAAAGGCCGATCATCCAAAAATTCGACTCCAGTGCTCTCCACTTTACCCGACCTATCGCAACAACACTCGCAGCCACAACGGACCACGAGACCGCGCGGCGGTACTGTGACCGCGGCGGATGGCGGAGGACCAGGTGGCCCTAGCACCTCCAGCAACACCGGTGCTGGTTCCGGCGCTGGCACCACCAAACGATCACATAAAAAGGGTGCAGGGCTTGCACCAGCCGCGCAGCAGCTTGTCGCTGCGGCCGCGACAGAAGACGAGGACTCTTCACGCCAAGGGGATGATGAAGAGGAAGAAGGAGAGCCGAGGTATTGTTACTGTAATCAAGTTAGTTTTGGGGAAATGGTTGCGTGCGATAATGAAACGTGTCCGCGCGAGTGGTTTCATTTGTCGTGTGTGGGCTTATCGAGGGCGCCGCTAAAGAGCTGTGAGTTTAGCCCATTTCCCCTCTCTCTATTTGCCCATTCTTAGAGCCATACCTGTTTTTCCTGTTATAGGAATGGAGATATGGTTTCTTTTTTTCTTTTTCTTTTTCTTGACTTGCCTTTGTCTGGGTCTTTACCCTAGCTAATATTAGAACCTGTGACCTCTAGCCAAATGGTATTGCAATGAGTGCAAGGATAACCTGAAAAAAGGGAAATTGGGGAATGGGAAATAAGATGTAATAATCTGCCCGCTCTATTCTATTATCACTCACCTTGCTAGTCTTTCGTCCTCCTTCTCTCAGATGAAGCTAGACATCGACCATCGATCGATGATCCTTTTTACTTGCAAATATAGTCTTCGCCCTCTTTTAATAACTCTTGTCCCGGTCCCACCCACCTTACGCTGCCATTTCATGAATGTCACGATTTGAAAGGAAAGACGAGCCAGAGAGATTCCGCCAAATAAATAGCGGAATTTTGGCCTGTGGTGTTGTTTTATTAGTGCTAGATCTTGGGGAGGGGTTTCTTCATTCCTCTTCTCTCTTGCTCTGTTTTTGTATTTCAACGCCTTAAAAAACTGTCCAGCAGCATCCTTCCTTCCACTTACGTAGAACTATCCCGTTGAGATTTTAATCATTATCAATTGTATCATCCTCATTTCCCTTTCGCGTCTTCACCCCCTTTTTTTTTTTCACTGTCTATTATGATTGATGAATATAACATTCCGCTCTAATTTTTTTTTTGAAGTTGTATTTTGGAGAAGTGAGGAAGAATAGAATTTGGAAATTATCAACTAGTCGTTTTAAGAAGCAAGAAGCATAAAGCACAATAAAAGTTTCGTCAAACCAAGTCTATTATTATACGCACGCAATAATCGCAACACACAAATAGGATTAGCGGAGGTTGACTATACAAATATGAGCATGGCCCGCTGTAAATACTCAAAGGAAATAGCGACGCAAATGCAGCAAAGAAAAGGTCAAGGAACCCCACTCACCCATTCCCATTCCCCCCATCGTCATACAGCGTATGACACGTTGCAAACTTCCCCAGCCCTCAGCAGCTCCTCTCCCAAACATACAAACTCATTAAAAAACAACCGAAGCAAAAATCAAATAAATGCTACCCACTTCACATCCAGCACACACCTCCTCCTAATAACTCCCCGTAAACCGATCCAATATCTGCCCCGCCAGCGGCCTCCTCTGCTGCCCCCGTCCCCTGCCCCCATCCCCACCTTCATTCGGCCCCTGCCTATCCAACCCAACCTGGGAAACCCCCACTCCGCCCGCCGCCGCCGCCGCCCTCGACTCCCTTTCCAACCGTCTCCTCATCCCCTCAAACCTCTCTGCATCCCCCCCCCGTCCTCCCCACCACCGTCCGCAACCCGGCCCACCGCCGCCAGCCGCCAACTCTAGCCGAACTGTGGCCATCCACGCCATCAGGCGCACGTCCCTCTGGTGCCCGCCGGTGCTCCCGCGCCGCCGCATCGACAGACGTGTTTCCATAGACCCAGCCGGGAACCCTCCACGCGGCCGCACGGCCGGGTAATATATCCGAGCGCCAGGCGTAACCGACGGCCCAGCCTACGGCGGCGGGGACGAGGGAGTGGGGGAACTGGGAGAGGGCGAGCTGCGCGCCCAGGAGGTAGGTGGTGGATTTATCGCTGACGCTGATCGAGGGTGTGGTTGCTGTTGGGGACGATGCGAAGGCGGTGGTGGTCGGGGCGGCGATGCGGTATTTGTATGCGGGGGGGATTGCGGAGTAGAATTGGACGAGGAGCGCGAAGAGGATGGCTGTTGGGCCTGCGGGGAGGAAGTTTAGGGTGTTGAGGGAGAGAGGGCGGAGGAGGAAGGAAAGGATGAGCGGTGGGAGGAGGGCTGTGTAGGGTAAGGTGCTTATGAGGAAGCTCTGTTGAGGGGTTTGGGAGATGGATGTTAGTATTGCTTTTTAGGTGGTAAGCTCTGGGTCTTCGGGGAATAGAGGAAGAAAGGGGACATACGCCGAATTTCCTAGATCCCCATAACCGTTCGATCACTCTGAGCTGATAAATGAGCAGTGCTCCAAAGAGCACTTCTGTCGAATTCGTGTAGGATAGCTACATTGGAGATAATGCGGTCGTGAGCTTTGTTTAAAACAGTCCTTGAGGGGGGAAGGTGGGGGAGGGGGGGGGGGGGAAACCCCACCTGCCAAACTCCTAGTCTCCATACTTGCCAATATTTCCATAGATGTGGCACGACCTGTATATATAATAAATATTTCACGTCCGCAATGCTGACAACAATCGATGAAGCAATTATGAAGACCATCCCATATTTCGAAATCGGCGCGTTGGTGAACCCGGAACTGATCATGATTTCAGGTATGTGAAAACGGAGGGGATGGCGGGTGTGCGGGATAGGCGTGTGACAGAACGCTTCCTTCAGCGCAATTCTGAGGTATTTGCGTGAGAGGATCCTATTATTTATTTGTTGCTGGGGGCTTAGAAAGAAAAATTGGATCCGGAGTTTCCCTTTCCCGTCCCGTTGAGGGTTCTTGTTGATGCTGGTAAATCGCGGGGTCGACGCTGGAAGTTTCTGGTGGAAGCTCAAGGCCAAACACGGCGCAATCCACCTCCTCTATCAATTCTTCCTATCCCTGTTTTCCGTGCTGGGAATTCGCGAACACTCCGTTCTTAATGGCTGTGCCAACTGCATGTCCACCCTATATGGACCGTTGCGGAAGAGGAGGGTTCGGTTGGTTCAACTTCGTTTTTCCCCAACGAGCTTCCACAAGTCCTGTTCAATTCTCTGCTCCAGCGGAATGGACGATCCCGTCCATAGGTAGTCAGATAAAGGAATCAAGAGAATGCTTGAGAAGTGCGTGAAGTGCGGGGGTGAATTGAAGTCTGTTGGGAGATGAGGAATGGCCGTCTGTTCAGGCTGTTCTTCTCGGCTGGCTTTCGCTGACGTCCAAAACTAGAGTACACATGTCCAATTTGGGTTACGGCTTCCCGAAAACCTGGGCCTCGGCATGCCGACGCAGGAACAGGAGAAAGGAGACTAACCACGGAACAAAAAAGGGTGAATCTGGACTCGTGAAGCTATGGGAATCAGGCTTCTTTTTTGTTGGCTTTACTTTTTTTTTTTTTTTTTTTTTTTTTAAGTTTATTCTCTCACTACTTATCCAAAAACGGTCAATCCAAATTCTCTTCTTGCTCTTCACTTCTCTTCGCACTACAACTCAACGCCTCTCAATCAATGGTAATGAACGACAGAAAAACGATCTTCTATGACACAATCGAATTTGGCAAAAAGTAACCACAAAAATGGAGGGGAAAGAACGGCGCAAGGCTATGCAAGAAAGACGGCAGATTGCAAGGTTCAACAAACAGAATCAAGGGTCAAGTCGCGTGTCGGGTGCATCAC